CTCTCCGGCCGTCCGGTCGTGTACGAGCCCGTGTAACGACTTTTATTATTATTTAATGTTATTTAATTACTGTTACATAATATATTGTATATACTAATATATAAATATATAACATAATAAAAAAATAAAAAAGATATTTCTGCAATACTATTTTGATTGTAATTATTGAGATATAAAGGCTTTCCTATTCTTCTTCTACCTGGCAATTTCCCAGGTTTAGCCAGGGTCTGCCTTACATGTTGTGAATAGTTTTGGCTAATTGTTTTTACGTCCGGCCGCCTGCCTGACATCAACCCTCTTTGGAAATCAGCATTAATCAGTGATGTCTAAATATTCTTAGAAAATACATATGACTCGGAAAAATCACATTGGTACTTGCCAGGATCGAACCCGCGACTTAAAACCACCGCCACAACCACAAACTAAATTAAAAATTAAACACATTAAAATCACAAAATAGAAATATGTCTATAATGTGTTTGAAGATATCGAAATGTTGTTTACAAATATTAATAAATTGATATACTGAAATAATATAAAATACATATAAGGAATGGTTTAAACAAACAACTGAAATAACGTGGATTCATATCATATAATACATATGAGAAGTTACACACACACACACACACACACACATACATACATATACAGGGTGACTGGTGAATTACTATCAATATTTAAGGAGAATACTCTGTACATGATTCTCATTCGAATTATGTAAAAAAAATAGGCACTTAATTTTTGACAAAATTTCCGTATAAATAAATAAAGTGTTGACACGTTCCAAGTGTTCCAAGCGTGGACGCGTGCGGCGGCGTAGTGTTGTATCAGCACGCGTGTGTGAGTGTGTGTGTATACCTAATCTGTAGGGTGTTCATACGATGCGTAATTAATTAAATAACTTTTGGTTAACTTTACTTAGAAGTTTATTAATATTTATGTTATATTCATTTTTATTTTGTCATATATGATCGTCAAATATCACGTCCTCAAATATCGATAGTAATTCACCAGTCACCCTGTATAAAGTGTTTGTGTGACATATTAATTAAGTAAGTATTCATTGACGTTATATTAACATTATCATATAAATATGTTGAATACACTGAGATGAGTTCGTCACGGTGCTTGTATCGACGTATAAAAAAAATTGTAAATTACATTTTTTCTCTTCAAAAATCATGTTGATTATACATAAATACACATGTATTTAATAATCTAGAGTACTGACGTACAGTTTCGCCTCAGGAAGTTCAAAACGAAGGCTGCGGAGCCTAATAATAAAAACTCAAAGCAAACGTTTAACTACCTCCACGTCTTCCTCCTTCCAGCATCCCATTTGTTGATCTCGTGTGAGAGCTGGTTCTCATCTACCTGTCGGTCCGCATCGCCTCGAGCCGACCGACACTCTAATTATCAAACATTATAACTCGTCTACGAAACGATTTCTTTGAGTTTTTTGTTAATTTCAGCGAGCGGTCGGCGACTAGCGATATTAACAGACTTCATACACAAACACAAAAACTGATTTTAATATACGAATATAAAAAACACTGTATACAAACACGTATTATTCATTTTAATTACATTATACGTACACATGATGTATCGGGTCGACTCAGGCTGCGCGTGTTGTTATAAAAACAACTTTTTCTAATATTAATGTACCGCCCGGAGGCTTCTCCTCAGTCAGCGGGCCAGATAGTTTAGTGGATTCGACACGGAGGCCTCACTTATACGAGTACAAACAACACGAGGAACAATTATCAAAAGACATACATACATAATTGCGTATTAAAGAAAGGGTTAAAGTTATAAGTCTTCCACATGAGGTAAAATATAGTTCAAACAACAACTGTGGACTCTCATTAATAAGTGTTTAAACAAAAATATATTTAGAAAAATCTATGTGTCAATCTGTTTGTTAGTCACAAAAAGATGGACTGAAAAAGCAGTGAATTTGTTCAATCTTAAAAACATAATTACTCTATATAGATACAATTATTAAATATTACGATTAATAGAAAGATAAGCATATGTAACTTGAACTCTTGTTTCAAAGTTCGATAGTTCGATTAATTTTCTTTTGTTAACACGATTCATTGATTTAAATATTCTTTCGATATATTGTGACTTTTATTAAATGTTTTGTTTAAGGAGCTCTAATATCTCTAAGACACACGGTCTTTTTGAAGACATCGTACTGTTATATGTTAAACATCACTCGCGAACTTTATTTACCAATTATTAACGCATTCTTCAGTCCACAGAGGGCGTGGCAGTGAAGTCTGATACACGTAAAAAATGATTTTGACCTGATTTGATATATGAGTAATGATATGAGCCTCGCTATACTTCTTACGTTTCCTGATGACTTCAATCATATAACGTGTTATATATTTTGTTGTTGAAAGCTAACAGGTTTGCCATCATTTGATTACCGAAAATTATTAAGTAAAGAATACACAACTGTTACAACTACACCAGGGACGATAACGATTTGTTATAGTTAAAATGATCTTAAAATGTTCTAATAATCTTAATCTTAGTGAATTAGTTTTATATAGATAGTTTTGAAATTATACAAGTTAAAATTATTACCACTTTTTATTCGAAGATCTTATATCTTTATGAGAAGCTACTACATTTTTTATAGCCTTCACCCTCATATAAGGTTTATTTTCCAAAAATCACTATGAAAGCCTATAAACTTCATCAGAACTAAAATCAAAACAACGATGGAACATTCATATGGAAACGATTAATAAAACCGCATTTGAATTCCACCGAACTGAGTAATAAAATTTTACGACGCCAGCGCTCACATCCGAAACGGCCGATAGCAGAACTAATTTAAACAAAGTTCCAACGAATGCTAATAGATGGTGCTAATTCAAATGCGACTTAGTCAAAACGGAAAACGGGCGATGGCAATATTTTAATTTGGAAGGCTTTGCGACTTAAATGCCGACATCGGTATGGTGTAACGATGTGAAATGGACGTTTCCATTGTCTAGAATCGGTGCAATAACAATTAAACAGCCGCAGTACTTATAGCTCTTTTAACGAGAGTTTGCGTTCAGCTAATTTCTCTATTAAACGAATGAGCGGTGTTCGTATTGTTTTACTGTTATTTGATTCATTTTAATGTTTCAGACTGCCGACTGTCCCTGATGGAAGCCGCGGACGCTAGTATATATTTTACGAGCTGCACCTTTTTTATTGGTTTCAAATAACGACGTGTAAGCGAAAAATAATCTCCAACAAATTGTACACGGTCAAATGTAAAAATAATTATAAGATCACCTGCACTCAGTCAGTCATAAACATGACTAATACATAATAGTTTAACGTATCTGAAAGTAATTTTTTGGTGAGTTATGGTACAAAAATAATCTTCTGTTATATCTTTCCTGAGTTATTTTCGTCTTTTTCTGTTGTTTCCGAGTCATTAAATATTTTTCTGTCATTAAAACAAATTGGTTCGTGTCAAACTCAAAACAAGAAATAATCGCATCCGTTAAACCCCAGCCATGAGGTAATATAAATAATAATGGTGGTCCCATGTTATAAGAACAATGATTACAGATTCAATATTTTTTAAGAATAATTTACTGCAATCACGTAACGAAAACTGTACTCATTAAATAATTATAATGTAAATGAATATTACGAATATAATAGACAGTAAATGAAGAAAACATGAAATCAAATGGTAATTTTATGTAATAACTAGCTTTCCGCCCGCAGCTTCGCTTGCGTGGAGTTCGGTTATATGGCGTTTCCAAGAGAACCTTCAAAGAAGTTTTAAAGGTCTGGGATAAAAACTATCCTATATTCTTTTTCAAGGTCAACTCTATCTCTGTACCAAATTTCATTAAAATCAGTTCAGTCGTTTAAGCGTGAAAGCGTAACAGACAGACAGACAGACAGAGTTACTTTCGCATTTATAATATTAGTAGGGATATTAAAGTAATATGAAAGTACTTTGAAATCTTAAAGTTTCTCGTGTCAGCATCACACGGGGACCACAGGGGCGCGGTAAAAGTTAACTTTGATGTTGTAAGTTACAACGGTAATAAACTCGAGGTTCTAACCGCTTACGTATTTGTAATTTAGGGTTGTTGGCCTCATTTGTACAATATATATACTAAATTCATAAATTATATTATATTATTTCCATAAAGTTATTTATTAATACCTATTATAAGAACCTAACCTGAATATTCAAAGCGCCTGTGCGAAAGTTATTTAAAGTTTCTGATCTGATTCGTGTGATATTGCTATCATAATTTAAAAGGCGACACTACTGTTTATTCTCAGGAATAAAATATCTTTTATAATTATAAATAGATAATTATTATTAATTCGTTTATTTTGTGATTAAAGAATAAAAAACGTTGAGAAATACTTTATATAATATAGTTTACGCAATAATCAGAGGTTACATTATTTAAAAAGAAAATCTAGAGTTGTTTTAACTTTTAATAAATGTTTTTTTCCTCGTGCGTTTAAAAGTAACTGAATACGATATATTGGAAGAGCCGATACCGTGAAATGTGAAACAACAATTGTCGAGGTGTTCACGTTGAATACTCAAAACAAATAATTAACTAGCTGTATAACACAACTTTGCCTGCTCTTAACACACTTAAAATTTATAAATAAAAAATGGATTCGACATACGTCACACCACAATTAAATTTTGAATGAATTAATGTACCTGGATATAAGATTTTTCTTGGAATGTATTAATTGAAAACATATTGTCACAGACAGACAGTTTGCTATCATTGTATTTGTTGGTTTGTAAGACGATTGTCATTTATACAGTGGATGATGTAATGTGACAAATAGTGCATTCCGTGTTCTTTACAAGGATTCAAGTATAGAAAAAATAAATGAAAAATATTGAAAGGAAAAGTGTAGGAATAACTAAAGTGTAATGTGTGTATTAAATGCGTCGGAAGTTTTCAAATAAATAACAGAAGAATGCAATGACATCTAGTAACATTACGGAGGACCTTTGTAACATATGCGACGGCAGAATCGAATGCGCTCCCACCGCCATACTACTAATAGCTCTCGTGCACACGCTGTACGGACACATAGGACCTGAACCGGATTACTTCGGGAAGAAGAGACACAGTCTGATGAGACAGGAGAACGACCAGCCTCAGAGTTACTTGAAGTTTGAACCGATCTATAGACACAAGGTACTCGGTGAGGATAGGAGAGACGACTTGGACACAGCTAACAAATACGACTTCATAGTGGTGGGAGGAGGGACGGCTGGCTGTGTTGTAGCGAGCAGATTGTCTGAGAATAGGAAATGGAAGGTTCAGTGTAATAATAATATATAGTACAGTTCTATTGTGAAGTTATTCTATAAAACGATTTTAATACCAGGTCTTGCTGGTGGAAGCTGGTCCCGAGGAACCGAAGATGGCTCTCATACCTGGACTCACCAGCGAGTTTAAAGGGTCCGCTCTTGATTGGCAATACTCTATGAGACCAAAGAAGGGGTAAGCTTTTAATATAATTTGTTTTTTTCCGTTACTTCATTAGTTTTAGTGTGAGATTTGGTATTGAGAGAGAGAGATACTTTCAATATTTGTAAAGCAAATGTTTCTTTTAGGTTCTGTCAAGAGCGTGATTTAAAAGGTTGCGAGGTCGTACAAGGTCGAGTTCTCGGTGGAACTTCAACAATCAACGACATGGCGTACATGAGAGGCAGCCCTGCCGACTATGATGAGTGGGCGCTCAACGGAAACGAAGGCTGGAGTTTCAGTCAAGTGCTGCCTTACTTTAAGTATTCGGAAGGAAATTACGATAAAGATATATCAAAAAACAAATTCTTCCACTCCACGCAGGGACCCCTGGACGTCGGTCGATATCCCTTCGTAGACGAAAATGTAGACGTTCTTCTGAGTGCTTTTAATGAACTCGGTTACAACTATACGGATATAAATGGAAGGAATCAGTTGGGATTCATGAGAGTACAGGCCATGTCTTACTTTGGTGAAAGAGTCAGTGCTTACACAGCGTTCATCGAACCCATCAGGAAGTTGAGGACGAACATAGATATAGTACCAGAGGCTCTGGTAACTAAGATATTATTAGAAGAGAAGGAAGACAGTCTCAGAGCAGTAGGTGTAGAATATTACAAAAATGGTACAAACGTAGTAGTAAAAGCTTCTAAAGAAATCATTTTGAGTGCTGGAGCAATCAATTCACCAAAAATTCTTATGCAATCAGGTATCGGTCCACGGGAATACTTGGAGTATTTAGATATGAAGGTGTATTATGATTTACCAGTGGGAGCAAACTTTCACGATCACTTGTCCGTGTGTTTGCCTGTCATTAAACTTACTAAGACGTCTACGATATCAAAATTCTCACAAAAGTTGAAAGATATAACTACGTATTACACGAACGGTCTCGGACCTCTCTCGTCCAACTTTCAAGTTATAGCGTTTTTTGAATCGAGCATATCAGATATTTTGGGGACGCCTGACATTGAATTTAGGTTCAGAGGTCACGACTCAAACATGTATTACGATAAAATTGACATTTGTACTTCATTAATAACACCAAAGAGTCGAGGACAGATTATATTAAATGCAACAGATCCTATATTCGGCAAACCTTTGATTTATCCGAATTTTTTGAAAGATCCTTCAGACGAGAAAAAAATATTAGAAGGCATTCAGGAAGTCGTAAAATTATTTGATACTGAAGTGTTTAAAGCTGCTGAGTTTGAATTTGATCCGCGCCCGATACTGGATAACCAGTGTCGTGAACACGACAGAGTCTCAGAAGAGTTCTGGGCGTGCATTATAAGAGAGTTCTCAGTACCTCTCCATAACTATGTAGGGACATGTAAGATGGGGCCCTCAAAAGACCCCGAGTCAGTTGTCGACAATAGTTTAAGAGTTTACGGAGTGTCTAACTTGAGAGTAGTAGACGCTTCAATAATTCCCAAAATTACCAGAGGCGCCACCGGTGCCCCGGTGATCATGATAGCTGAAAAAGCAAGTGACCTAATAAAAACTACTTGGTATTAAGATTTAATTTCTTTATTTTTTACCTAACATTAAATTAAAGCTAAATAATTTCCTTATAAGAAATTTCCTTTGTTTTCCTTCCAGTCTTTGATAATTAATTTTGTTCCTTTCTCAGCGATCATAACGGTGGGTGCGAATATATTGCCTCGTACATGTGAAGGCATCACCGACGCGTCGATCACTCTTAATGACTCAAGGCTATGAACTTTAAATTCATAATTTACAACAGAATCAGTTCTATTTTGACCCATTCGACACGTGCCGATAGGATTACTCATAGCCTTCGTGTAGTGTCTTGCTATACAATTCCATTGATCTCTGTTGTGTAATCGATCACAAGGAAATATATCTAATGGAGCCATCTTTATTTCAGCCTTTTTTAGTTCCTTTGTATCTAGTAGCTGCAGTGCTATATCCACACTGTCGATAATGGCGTCTAAGTCTTCCTGCTCTTTCAACAGATTAGCTTGAATCACTGGTCTACCGTATTTTGGATTTCTCTTATTCAACGTAACTTTACCTTTGCTCTTCGGTTTTAGTAAAACTGGATTTACATTGACTAAATTGTAGTAAGCTATTGGTAAGTTGGCCTCCTCGGCTGAATGCACACTAACATTTGTTAACATGAACTTGTCACTTCTTATATAGTTTCCCTGTAATGCCAACTCTATGTCCGGGCCATTTTTGTTTTCAAATAACTGTATAAATGCTGATACTTGATTGATTCCCCGTGAAGCCAGAGGACCTCCCTTGTTTTGAAACCACGTTTTAAAATCTTCTACAATTTGTTGTTCAGAAACTGAAGTTACGTCACTAAGAGAAAATGCGAGGCCGCCTATGGTCACTTGATCTTGATAATTAGAACCAACAGGAAGATCTATTATAACTGATATATTCTGCTTCTCTAATTCAGCCGCTGGTCCTATTCCTGACAGATGTAGTATTCTTACGTTATTGATGGCACCGGTAGTCAGTATAGTTTCTTTTTTCGCGTAAGCTAGTTGTTCTTTTCCCTTTTCCAATTCATAAAATACACCGTCTACTTTATTCTCTTGAGTGTCAATAATTAATTTCGTGACCGTTGCTCCGGTCTTGACAACTAAGTTCTTTCTATGTCTCACTGGTTTCAGGAAAGCGCTGTTTGTGCTAAGTCTTGTATTGTTAGCTACAACGAACTGGTTATTGAGAGCCGCCTCCGGAGCGTTAGTATTTATGTCAACGGACCTGAATCCCAGCTCAGCGAATGCCCCAAGGAACAGCTCCATGTGTTTGTCGATGTGTTTGAATCTTTGAACGTGCATTTCGCCCCCGCGGGAATGATAGTAAGAATTCATCAGTACATCGTAGTCGCCTGAAAATGTGATGAAATTGAAAGATATTGTTGTTAGAATCTCTTAGGATTTGACTGTTCATTAATTACATTTATGTGTCTTAATACAATTTCAAATTACCATTATCTTCTGAAGCCTTGAAATGCTCTATTAAATTCTCAAACTTCCAGTTCAGAGAGCCCATTTCTCCAGTGATGTGCCAAGCGTCGTAATCTTTCTTTGAACCTCTGGTGTACTTCATATCATTGGTAACGCTGGACCCTCCTAACACCTTCCCTGTCTTCACCTCACAGCTCCCTCCAGGTCTCGACAGACAAGAGAAGCCATTCCTCTCAGTCCTAAAATTCCAGAGGATCGGTCGGTATTCATTTGTTGGTACAGCTGGTATGTCATAATCTATGTTCTCTTCGTCGCCAGCCTCCAGAACTAAAACCTTGAAAATGTATCATGATTCACAGAGATATATCAAAATAGATAAATTCATTTTTTTATAATTTTATTCACAAAGAGGTTTGATGTCAGGTAGGCGGCCGGTCGCAAAAACAATTAGCCAAAACTATTCACAACACGTAAGGCAGACCCTGGCTAAATCTGGGAAATTGCCAGGTAAAAAAAGATATCTATGACAGCTTAATATTATCGTAAGAGGTCATTCAATGTGGTACCTTCCACTCAGGGTTGGCAGACAGTCTGTTAGCGAGGACGCACCCAGCCGTGCCTCCTCCCACTATGATGAAGTCGAAGACACTGTTCCTCAAGTCCTTCTCGTTTGTTTTAGTTTTGGTAGCCTTCGAGAACAGGTCCGCTCTCACATCGTATATCGCGTTCACTATGTACGTGAGGTATATGATGCTGTATTAAATTAATAACATTTATTACTTCATATATTCATGAGTCGCGTCACACTAAATATAAGTTATTATTAACGTGTTTTTCCTGACCTTATATAATGTAAATCCATTCTGTGAGTGTAACAGGTCGCCACTGGAACGTTTCTCGAGCTAGTGCGGTTCTCGTGTGCTCGAAGGATCCTCCAGTAACGCTTCACTGACCGCATCCTGTGAGGATCCATCGCAATCCTCGCTGGAAGTGACCCTTATACAACATGAATCCGGTTTTCAGTCTCAACTGATCGCTGTATAAGGTCTTACCGTTTTCCTTTTTTATGACGTCTTTAAGACGAATTGTTCGTTTTGAAAGATTTATAACATAAACGTATAATGAATTTTATAAAATAATATCTAACATTCAGTTGAAAATTTAGTTTAAAAAATGTTTTAAATTAAATGGCTTAAGGGTTCCTCGTGTTATCATGTAACGTTCTTATATAAAAGTAACATATATGTAACATCTTATACCATATGTCTTCAAAGATGATTCAAAGATCTTCGTGAATAATAAACACACATGCTTGAGGTTTGTATTTCATTCTCATATATGTTGTTTACATTTTAGGTTTTACTTCGACGTTTTATTACATCGCAAGAAAATATTACGAAATGTGAAAAATTATTCTAATTTAAATTGTCTTTGTATTACTGATACATTCAATAGAAAATACATATAACTCTACATGTTTTATAACGATCTGTAACGTTTCATTGTTTTTTTTTTGTTAATTTCATATTAAGTATATGTAGTATTTGTATAATCATTTATAAATGTTATAATTCATTAATGACAGGACGGGGTGCGCGCCGCTCGACTCTCAGCTAATTATCACTTTCAATTATAAAACTAATATAATAGTCGACGAAGCGTGAAAATAACATTACTTCATCAACACAGCGATGTTATGAATCAAGGACGGCTGGTAGTTTCAGTTATTGTTACTTACAATAATCAATGAATCTGTATCTATAACCTACTGGTTTAGTTAAAATAATACGGTTCCAAGCAATATTAAAAACCTTTCGTGATAAATGAAACAAGCTGTAAGCATAAATGAAGATAACTGACTATTGCTTTCGATTCAAACTGTCATAAGTCATGAGTTTATATGTATAGTGTCCACTGATAACTGATGGCGGTAGGAGCATACAGTACGAGTGTCCGGAAATTAAAGTGACCGGGAGAAATACAGAGAGCCTGTTACGTAGATAACTCACAGTATGATTGTGATAAGGAGTTTAATACTGAATTATTATAAGGGACGAGGGATGATTCATATATATGTGATACGAAGAGATTAATACATATAATATGTACGGGTCGCAGCAATTGTCAGCTTTCGGACCATCGTGACGCATACCCAGGCATTAAAATACAATATTATATGACGATCTTACCTCTTTTCATTTTAGACCTAATCTCCTAGACTAACAGAAAATATGTAAATAATAAGCCAAACACCTTGGTAATTAGTATATAGCAAATTGCTAAGGGAACTACTAAAGTTTTAAGTTTTATTTAAAGTGAAGTTCAACTGTTGAAAGATATATTTACTGCAATTATTTAATTTAAATATTTTACAATAATTGCAAACCATTCAATGACTAACAGTTACAAGTAGTAACATCTATGTTTTGGATTTGGAAGTAAAATGATTTTGAAGAGTATTTTATTTCCGGATTTTTAAAAAAAGTAATGTTGTCTTAAATTATTGTACCTTTTAAAATTACGAAAATGAAAATATTTTCTTAACAATCTAATAAGCTATATTTATTTGTTATGGTAATCTAATAAAGAAATAATTGCCTTTATTTTCTGAGGGGTTAATGTCAAACGTCAAATGAGAGAAGTGTTTGTTTTTGAATTTTAACGGCACATGTCATAGCTCTGTAAAGTTGTTTCAAATTGGTTTATTATTTTGTTACTTATATCTTATTGTGAATTTATCAAGATGGATAACAGTGACGACATTCGTGACGAGGATTTTATCCCGTTTCTTCATGGATTAGGTGTAGAGACGTATAAGGAGTCTTTTGAGTGGATGTTAAATGATCCAGATTTCTCTGGCGTTTGCCGTGGATTTATAACAATTTGGATCATATTTATGCATTCACTGCTAGAGAAGAGTGCAGGTTAAGTATTTCAGATAACGCAAAACTCTAAAAGTCGACTTAGTAGAAATGACACGAAGTATTGTATTGTGTTACAAGACGTAGTTTTGAGCTTTGTAACTGTACCAAAACAAATAGCTAGTGACATATAATTTAATTTTTAATTTACACATTTTATCTTAATCATTAACAGATATGGAGAGTTAGAAAACAAAGGCAAATTATTGTCATCTGAAAACTTAGAAACACAAATCCAATCAATACAAGATGATTTTGAAGGTTTAGTCCTAGCTGGGGACTTGGATTCTTTAGAGGACGCAAAAGTCAAAACTTGATATTAAAAGGCAGAAAGAGAAGCTTGCAATGTTACAAATGCGTGAAGAAATGCTCAATGAAATGATTGTTTAAGAAAAGTAAGTCATTTTCATCAACTGATTTAAAATTAGATATAAATAAGGATCCTAAGCTTCTCAGAAATAGTTAACATTAATTAGACACTACAGACAGATGTTGAAGGAAAACATCACTAGGAAACCCAGACTTTTAATCTCACAATTATAATTTGAAAATCACCAACCCATCTTGAGCAAGTGTGGGTGAATAATGTTCAAATCTTCTTCGTGTGAGAAGAGGCCTCTGCTCAGCAGTGTGCCCTGATAGGCCAATGAGAGATTAAAAATACATAATCAATAATTATTATACATTTTTAGGTCTACTAAAGAGGATCTCGCACTAGATATTGCTAGATTAGAAACAGTACAGAAACAATGTAATCTAGATGTCACTACAGCTAGCGAGCAATGCTTGAAATTGGCTGAAGAAGTTGAAAACATTACCAGTAGTGTTAGGAACAATATTGCAGAGGTTTTGAATGTTTATGGCTCCAGTATCAATGATAAAGTATGTTTAACACTATTGATGGTTATTTGTATTAGTATTTTTAAGAAATCATTAGTCAAAAAATAACCAGAATAACCATTTTGGTGACCATATGAGTATAGCTTATATTTAGAAGCATACATTAAGTACAATTAAATGTTATTCAACATATATTCCAGGAATTATCAAAACAGTTCTTTACATTTGGACCTCTGGAATCGTACCGACAGACACAGTCACTGTTCAAGTCTCATTTTGATTTTTACACCAATAAGAAGTTCAACAACCGCCAAACTGATGTGAATGAGGATGATCTACGAACAGCCCTCATTGAAGCTAAGGATATGGAGGAACGGTAAGGTTTTCTTATAATATACTATATGATATCTTTTATATATGTAGATTATAAAATTTTCCCTGTAGTCTGAGCTGAGAATTGGGCATGTAGAGATATCGTTGGGGATAGTGCAAATCTGAATACTTAATAATAAATTAAACACAAAATAATTAGTAATTTGGAAAAAAAGCCTTAAAAGTCATTAATACAGAAAATATTTCAGCTCAGCTTCATTAATACAGAAAATATTTCAGCTCAGCTTCATTAATAAAGAAAATATTTCAGCTTTCGTCTGATAATCTGCTTTCAATGTAGATGCGCGGTATTATTCCATAGTAGTTATGCGGATTTGCACTATCCTCGACAATATGTAATAAGTATTTAGATGCTAGATAGATTTTTTAAATGACCTTCAGCGACGTCTGTTGTCAGGAAAATATAACTATTATGAAATACAATTGATTCTGTTATGCATTTTAATTGATATTAAATAAGTTTGAGATAAATTACTATAAGGTTTTATCAAAATCCATGAAGTATTTTCTGTGCGAAAGAGTATTAGAAATCTATATACACTTACAAACATTTATACCTTTTTGGGACTTTTTGCAAATCTCATAATATATCTTATATTTAAACAAATGAATTTAGAAATAAAAAATTTCCTAGTCTATCTTGTGAAATAGCAACAAGTGACTATACAACCAGTCACCCAAGTTCTTCAATATGAATAATAAATTTTCTCATTCCATATTTCAGTCTCTCTGATGCCGTCTGTACATACATAGAATCCAAAGCCGAGCTGAGCGGGGAGCTTGCCAAGTTGATGCTTGTGTCTAACTATAGTCATGTACATTCAAGTGAAATTACGTATGTATATAAATAATATGGTTAATTAATAATTTTCATCCAATATTCATGTCATTTTATCATATTACGCATAGATATTCTTGTCAAAGTTCATAAAAAAAATAAATGTTAAAATGTATAGAATCTTATTCTTAATGTTCTTTCTAATTACTCGGAGATGCAATTTCACCAATATTTTTTTTGCTTTGTTCGAAGTAGAAAGCTCTAGGCACTAATTGAGTCAATCCTTAGATTTTAGTAGAGAACAATTTTTTTTGAACATGGGTTTCGTTTTCCGACCCTAATCGAAATTGATGGTCTGATCAAAATAATTTTTGATAAAAGTTACAATCCACACCAAACAACTAGGCTATCTCAAAAATCTCGTCTCGATCGTACATTAAGTTGCTGAGATTATATCTATGAATGACCAGAGTATTTTGCTTATTTCACTCAATATATTTGCTAACTTATATTTCCAGGGTTTGTTTATTGGAGGCTCAAAGTGCCATCAGTTTATTGGAACAAGAGGAGTGTATATTGGAGCAACAGTTACTGTCCACAGTGAAACAGTACAGCGAGGCCTGGAGCAGGCTGGCTGTGTCCACAAGTACTACCTCCGCTATGATGATGAGGAGGTCAGTATAAATTGGTGAAGTTACATCACATACATGGAAATGAACCAGGAAGGAATTAATGATTTAGAGTCTCTAAATGTCGGTCTATTTGTTTGAAATTTTAATACATTGTAATTTTTTATATTGTCTGTCATTATTTATTTACATATTAATTTGTAAAGAATTAAATTACTATAGTATGTAATAAAAATATATTAAATTCGTGATTTTTGTATTGTGTTGAAGCAAGACTCAATGACGGAACATATAATAATAATATTAATGCTTAGAATCTATGAATTTATAATGTTATGGAAATACAATGTGCAATTTTGATTTTAGTTTAGAATATATTTTTTATTTATTCAGTTTTTTCTTTTGGTAGAAT